AAGTCCGATGGAAAAATTTTTTTTTTTGGCCCCTAAAACACTCAAAAAAAATTTTTAAAACTTTTTCATAAAAAAAAATAATTTTTTTTTTTTTTAAATATTTTGGCGAATAGAATGACGTTTCGAGGGGGCCTGAAACAGTAAAAGGGTTAAATATCAAGAATAGTATGTGGGGGGGGGTGGCCTGGTAAGGTAGCCTGGCTTTCCCATACATACCCACTTGATTTTTACAAAAAATCTATTGTTCCCCCCTGTTTAAGACTATAAATATTTTAGGTAAGAAATGGGGCCCTTGTGTGTTTTGATTTTTTTTTGTTTTTTGATGCTGGTTCTATTGAATTTAAATTATGTTAGGAAAACTTGTTATCTGTGTTTGTATGCTTTAAAAATGGAAAAAAAAGGGTTTTCCACTTTCGGCGGTTTCCGTTTTATGGGGGGAAAGCTGGAACCAAAACCTCCCCATAAAAAGGGGGGGCCCCCCTGTATTATTTCTTCTTCTTTCAAGTACCAGCCTTTTTACCCCATGGGTGGGGTGGCCCCAAAAAAAAAAACTGAAGTTTCCCCTTTTAAAATTTAGAAATATATACGGAAAAGGGGGTTACTACCCCCTTGCTCGGGCATTTTAGTGCCTTTTATGACAGCATGGTTTTAAGAGGAAGAATTTGTTCCACTTCCCCATGGAGTAAGGGAAAAAAAACAAGAACAAGAATTGAAAAAAAAATAAAAGAAAACCCCAGGGGGGTGTGTAATATATGTTATATGTATGTGTAGTGTGACCTAAGTGTGAAAAAAAGTAGCAAGACTTCCCTGTAATCTTGCATATTTATGAGAAAACAAAAGCACCAGCAATCCTACCACATGTAAAACAATTTAAGGCTTTGTTTTACACTCACTTGGAGGACGGTGTACCTCCCTGGGCGGTTGCTGTCTACCAACCTACAAACCTTTTTATATATATTTTATATATATTATATATATATTCAGTGGACCCCCGGTTAACGATCACCCCCAAATGCTACCAATTTGTAATTTGTATTATGTAAGGGTTTTGTAGTGTTGTTTGGGGGTCTAAAAATGGACAAATCACTTCACAATATTCCTTAGGGAAAAATTCGGTCAGTATGGCACCTGAACTTTTATACTGGAATGAAAAAAGTTCTTTAAACCGGGGGGTCCAGTAATATTTATATATATATATATATATATTATATATTAATTATATATATATAAAATATTATATTTTATATATTTTATTTATTATTAATATATATATATTATATATATATTATATATTATATATATTTATTATATTATATATATTATATATTTATTATTATATTAATATTATATATATATATATATATATTTATATTATAATATTTATAATATTATAACACACACACACCACACCACCCCTTTACACTGCATACTCATCAACATTAAATTTTTAAAAAAATAGATTTCTAAACATTAAAATTTTATGAAAATCAATATTGTATGAATTTTCCCAAAATGAAGGAGCAAAAATGTATGTTACATTTAAATTTTTTAAACCCGCTCATTGATGTATATTTTTATTAATAAAAAAGAAGCGGTAAACCTACAAGGGTTTGGCACAGTCATTGAGCTAATAAAGATGTTAAACGAATGAGAGATGTTAAACTCAATATCTCACAAAAAAAAATTTTTAAATATTTGTAAAAATTTTAAAAAATTTTTTCATAAAAATTTTTTTTTTAAAATTAAGATCGAACAGGGAAAATTTATGGAATTTATTATTAAAAAAAATCATTAAAACTCAGTTTTATTTTTCATGACAACTGACATGTGAAAAACCCGGTGAAAATGACACTGTGAAAAAAAACCAGGTGATAAAACACTGTGAAACAACCAGGTGATAATAACACTGGAAAAAACCAGGTGTACATAACTGTGAACAACCAAGTGTACATGACACGGGGAAACAAGCAGATGAATTATGGCATGGAAAAAAACCAGATGAAATTTTGACACTGTGAAACAACCAGGGAATTTGACACTAAAAAAACCCCGGGGAATATGACACTGTGAAACAACCAGGTGATACATGACTGTGAAACAACCAGATGAATTATGACACTGTGAAACAACCAGGTGAATTATGACACTGAAACAACCAGGTGATATATGACACTGTGAAACAACCAAGTGATACATGATGACAATGTGAAACAACCAGGTGAAGCATGACACTGAAACAACCAAGGTTAGCATGATAACACTATGAAACAATCGGTCCAAGTCAGACCGAAACGTCGTCGTAAGCTTTTCTCTTTTATGTGCGTGTTATTTGTGTATCGTTCCAGTCAAGGTATTGTGCCTTTTTTTGTTATTTATGAAACAATCAGGTGATACATGACACTGTGAAACAATCAGGTGAATTATGGCATTATGAAACAACCAGGTGAAAAAATGTGACCCCCTATGAAACCAACCAGGTGAAGCATGTGACATGAAAAAAACCCCTGATCATGACACTGTGAAAAAACCAGGTGAAGCTGATGGCCTAGAAACCCGGTGATACTGAGACGTAAAAAAACCCCCGGGATACATGAGTCGTGAAACAACCGGTGATATATGACACTGTGAAACAACCCAAATAAATTATGCACTGTGAAACAACCTGGTTGAAAAATTTTTACATATTTAAACAATCAAATGAAATTTTTTGAATGTGAAACAACCGGGTAAAAATTTGGATGTTAAAAACCTGGTGAATTCAGTGGAACCTCAAATTTCGAACGTATCGTTATCAAAATCTTCGAAAATGAACCATTTTTTCGAACCAATTTGTCCCTATATTTAACTCGCCCCCTTTTTGAAACCGGGGGTACCGGATTGTTGGCAGCCTGCTCTGTCCCCTCCCCAGCAGGCGCCATGAGCCCGTTGGTTTGTTGATGCTTGGTGAAACTAACCGCACTCTAGTCAAAAATTTTACGATTATTTCATTGTGTTTAGTGCTTGTGGAACTGTGAAATAAGCTACAATGGGAGCAATGAAACTTCCTAGTGGTACCCCTGTGGTAAAGAAAGTGAGAAACACCATAGATGTGAAAAAGGAAATAATACAGAAGTGGAATGATGTCCAAATGTTTGTGGAGAAGTACCACCCTGAGCAAGCTGAAACAAGCCATCTTTGCAACAAGTTCCGTGACAGAACCATGTCCCATTTTAGGGAAATCTTAGAGGCACCAGAAACAGAGGACTGTGGAGTTATTTTGTGAGACAGGGGTCCAGTGACTCTCAAGCTGGTCCTAGTGGCATTAAAAGACAAAAGGGAAGTAACCCCAGAGAGGGCTTTGATACCTTTAGTCCTCATGGACAGGATTCTCCTTCCAAACACTAACCACAACTCCCTCTCTCCTCCTCCCTATCTTCCAGATGCCATCACCAATCTTCAATAAAGGTAAGTAAAAATGTTATTTTATATGTTTATTTACATTTATTAATACATAATTGAACACTATATTTGTTGTATGTGTGTGTAAAACTATAATTAATCTCTATTTAATGTATTTTTTGGTGAATATTTTTGGATTTCTGGAACGGATTAATTGTATTTCCATTATTTCTTATGGGAAATATTGCTTCACTTTTCAGACTTTTCGATTTTAGAACTAACTCCTGGAACGGATTAAGTTCGATAGTTGAGGTTCCACTGTATTACTGTGAAACAACCCAGTGATACATGACAATGCAACAACCACGTGAATTATGACACTGAAACAACCCAGTGATACATGGCACTGCAAAACAACTAAGTGACACATGACGTGAAGCAACAGTGATACATAACTTGGTGAAACAAGTAATACATGACAATGAAACATGATGATACATAACTTGGTGAAACAACAGTGATACATTACACAGTGAAACAAGCATGTGATACATGATACTCAGAAAGGGTTAATTATCTCTTACTTTGCTTATCCCTGCTTTTCTTACTGGAGTTATCCTTCACTCTGAAAACTTATAAGAATTCTCTATGAAATATACACAAACTTTATTTCTTTCTGTAGTAGACAAAGTACACAGATTATAAGCAGTTTGTGAAAGATTACATTTAGCATTTACTATTATACTGGGTAAGCAAGTTACAAGTATTAACTTCAGTTATTATAATACCGGGTAAGCAAGTTACAGTACTAAGTTCAGTTATTATACTGAGTAAGCCAGCTACTAGTATTAGGTTCAGTTCTTGGTGGTATGATAATGATAACTTAGTTTCAAGTAGCTTGTAATGTATAAATATATCCCAGTGAACTTTCAGTAAAGCTTAACTGGACCACAAACATAAACTAAATGAGGGACAATGGTTCATAATGTTTAAAACCTCCTGGTTGCACACCAATCATTAAGGCTGCTTAAAAGAACATAACAAAGGATACTGTAACTGGTAAAATATTGTTTAAACTCTCAATGACTATACTACTCTAGTATTCAGCTCTCAGTGTATATACTACTTATGCTCACACCTATGACTGATTCCAAGAGGTTTTTCTAACTTCACAGTCTGACCTAGGCCCAGTTTTTAATATTGTGTGTTCAACAAAGTTGTTGGTGTTGACAGCCTGCTTGACCATCAGAGCCTGGTTGATCCTTCACTTGGTAGAGGTAGTGATCCAGTTTCCACTTGAAAACCTCTTTTTTTTTTTTTTTCAAACAATATTTCTGATATCTGCAAGCAACAGGTGTAATACCCTTGGAGAATGGGTGCTGACTCTCTCTTATTGCACTCATAGTACCCCTGCTTTTCACTGGGATTATTTTACACTTCCTCTTATATTGCTTACTCCAATAGACTGTTATGGTAGTGTGCAGATTTGGGACTGGGTCCTCAGGTATTGTCTTCCATCCATATATTATCAAGTATCTCCATTCCAGGGAGTACATTACAAGTACTTTTAAATGCTTTAGTGGTAAAAAACATTTTAAACCAGATGATAAAGACACAAAAGCAGTAATTTTAAACTTTATTCAAACAACGTATCTTACCTAACAGAAGTACAACGTATGCAGGAAGGAGAGATTATTATTATAAAATTAGTGCTCAACCCCATTAGAATCATACAGTACAGGCAGGAGAAAAGAACATATATGACAGTTACGTGTATACATGAACAGAGGTACAGATTAGAGAGCTCTTAGTTTCTGTTCTCTGTATCAGTAGTCTCCCAGTGCTAAACTTGTAAAGGTCATTCAATGCTACACAGAAGTAAAGGAGATGACAGAGGTGAAGTTGTTGAGGGAAGAACACTAGCACAGTGGAGGAACGGAAGAGGAGGGAGTCTCAGTTGAGAGGAGAGGAGAGCAGATATATTAAGTCAGTGCCTTGAAGGAAGTGTCTGAAGGGAAGTTGGCGTATTCACTGACAAATGGGACAGCTGCTCAGGATGTGTTAGTGTGTAAGAACCACCTGACAATCCTCACAGAGCGGCAGTGGGTGCCCAACTTTTCTCTCAGTAGGTCAGCGGCAATAACTATACAACAGATAACCGACTGATTCTACAATACTATCCAGATCCCTACAACGAGAGTGAGCAACTTGCCTTCGCTGCACAATTTCACATATTGCTTAATAACCTCTGTAAATTCATTTTAATAACTTTGCAAGATTATTCAACATTATAAGTTTTCAAATGTTTCAACTGATTTATTTTCTAACACCTGAACACTACAGTGTTTATATGAACTTCGAACTTTCATGATTAATCACAGAAATCATGGCTCATCATGTTACATTTGATTTGGTATTTCTGAAAATATTTTTTGCCACAGCACTAATATATTTTTTCTCCTGTATGAGCTTTCATGTGTCTTCTTAGACTTGCATTATTTGCAAAACCCTTTGGACACAATGTGCAAGTAAATGGTTTCTGCAATCTATGAACTCCCATGTGTTGTTTTAGATGTGAACTTCGTGAAAATGTTTTTGTACACGTTAAACATTCATATATTTTTTCTCCTGTATGAATTTCCATGTGTCGCATCAGACTTGCTTTATTTGAGAAGTCTTTTAGACACTCGGAACAATTATATGGCTTCTCTCCTGTATGAGATCTAAAATGTTGCTGCAGCTGTACTTTTTGTATAAACTGTTTTGAACACAATGTACAGTGATATGGTTTCTCTCCAGTATGAAGTTTAAAGTGCTGCTCTAGATGTGATTTGCGTGAAAACTTTTTCGAACACTCTGAACACTGAAATAATTTTTCTCCTGTATGAATTTTTACATGCCTTATTAAACTTGCTTTATAAGCAAAGCCTCTCAGACAAACTGAGCAGTTATATGGCTTCTGTCCTGCATGAACTCTCAAGTGCTCTTCTAGATGTGATAGAGATACTTTTTTGGAGCACACTAAACATTCATGTGGTTCCTCATGATTTTCTTGTGTATGAGTTTTAACATGATGCACCAAATGGGATTTTTGGGAAAAGTCTTTTTCACATTGGGCACATTTATAGGGTTTCTCTCCTGTATGAACTCTCATGTGCCGTTCTAGATGAGAATTTTGATAAAACCTCTTGGGGCACACTGAACACTGGTATACCCTCCCTTCTGTATGAATTCTCATGTGTCGCATTGCAACTGATTTATCTGAGAACTCCTTTTGACACAAGGAACATTGATACAGCTCTTCTTGTGTGTGCATTTTCTTGTGCCGTGTTAAACTGGCTTCATGTAGAAAGCCTCTGTGGCACAGATCACAGTTATATGGTTTTTCTCCATCGTGAACATTCATGTGCAGTTGTAGCTGCAAATTTCGTGCAAATTTCTTAGGACACTTTGAACACTTGAAAGATTTCTCTCCTGTATGAACACTCATGTGGCGTACTAAAACTGATTTATCAGAAAACTTTCGTGGACACTCTGAACACTGGAATGGCCTTTCTCCAGTATGAATTCTAATGTGTCGTACTAGACTTGCTTTAGTAGCAAAGCATTTTAAACACGCTGAACAGACATATGGTTTTTCTTCTTTTTGAGATTCCAAAGGGTCTTTTAGTTCTGACTTTACTGAAAATTCTGCTGAACATGCTGAATAGTCAAGTGATTTCTCTGAGTTGTCTTCTGAATGATCATGTGTGTCTGATATAAGATTTGAATTTTGTTTGAAGTGTTTTACACACTCAGAACACTGATATGCTTTCCCTCTTGCATGAACTCTAATGTGAAAACTGACTGATGATTTATGTGAAGAAGTTATACATTCTGAACCCAGACAAGGGTCCTCTTCAGTAGGAAAGTCTCTGTCTTTCATTGCATCTGATTTGAGTGAAAAATCTTTGATACACCCTGAACACTGGAATGCTTTCCTTCCTGTATGAACTCTTACATGAAGCATCAAGGATGATATCTGGCTAGACTTTTGAACAAGAAAATGGATTCTTTCATATATGAATTTACATGTGATGTAATGAAGATTTTTTTAATTGCTTTGAACATACTAAACATTAATGTGATTTATTATTTTCTATATGAACTGCTGTATATTTATTGGAAATTATTTTTAAAAAATTCTGAAGTAATATGGTAACTTATAATTTTTTGAACAGTTATCTATACTCAGTGAACAATAACAAAACTGTGTATACACAGTGAACAATGTAACAGTTTCTGTGTAGTATGAATTCTCATTTATTATTGACTCCCACTTATGTATAGTAATGAATAATGTGACAATTTACACTGTACACAAAATAATTTATTCAGTGACCTTGTCATTATATCAAATGAAGTGTTATGACAAAGTCAGAAAAACATACATACATTATGACACTAAACACAGGTGCACACACAGCATTATGACACCGAACACAGGTACCCCTACAGTGTTACAACATGAATCACTTGATACTTGATGGAAGGCACTGGCAAGGTGTGTTCAATTCCTGTAGAACACTGCAGCTATATAATAATGTTTAACTTCCCAGTAACTATTTAATTAAACTGCCATCAACAATTATTTATATTTTTAAACTGATAATGTTTAATTAGGAAAAATGACAGGGTAGTTTGCAACTTCTGGATTTACTTGCTGGTGCAGCTTCAAAAAAATGTGAGGAGCAAACTGCAGGATAATGATGGCAGACATTAGCAGTATTTGTGGATAAAAATATGAAGGTTTTCTTCAAGGATTGTAATGTCAGAAAGTAATATAAAGTACAAAATTATTACAGAGAAGAAATTAATTATCAGTCCTACACAAATCCATACATTAGATTCTGGAAAATTAATTACTGTACATGGAACAAAATATAATAAATTTAATTTCTAAATATACCAATTGATTAGCATACCGGTTATTCAAAATGCAACAAAGCTTTTTATCACTGAGTAACTAGATATTTCATTAATTTAAAATTTACTTTTATAATTAAACACAATATTTAAAGTATCACTTTTCACTGATGAGTGGGTTTACATTCATGTCCAAGATGTAGGTAGACACTGCAAGTACAATACTTCACAGGAATAAGTTGTTACTGTCACAAATGACAATGATGCACAATGATATTCAACTAACTTTTTAATTTACCTCCACAGGGTTAAAAGTGTTCAAGCAGCAACCAGGAAGTTGAGACAAAGTAAGCATCACAGTACTACATTAGTGATACTCAACATGTAGACTATTTCTGAATATGTAGGAGAGAATGTTGTATGTGTGCAGGTAGTAACCTGGATATTGAGATAAGCTTCAAAATACTATGCAATGACACTCAACACATTTCTGGCAATGTGGAAAATTTTATGACACAAGCTGCTGACAATATATATCTGCAATATCTGTGCCACATAGATAAGTTTAAAAGCACTGGGTCTTGACACTGCTGCAGTAATTCTTCTGGTGCAAGATGACCTGCAAAAATATAAAGAACATTAACAGGTTTAGAATTTAAAATATAACATCTCTGAGCTCTTAAAACTTTGTTACAAAAGTACTGCTTCAGCAAGACTGTGTTGCGTCTCGTGCAGACTATATATTATCTACCAACAATTCTCATTTATTTAGTATTATTATTATAATCAAAAAGAAGCGCTAAGCCACAAGGGCTATACAGCGCTGCAGGGTAGGGAAGGAAGCAAGGGAATTGGATGGCAGAAGGGAGGGGGGATGATCAGCAGGTTACAGAAAACAGCGGGGCAGGGGATAGTACGGGGGTAGAGGGTAGCAAGAGATTGAAGTAGAAAGGGCTGAAGGTATCAGAATTTGTGAAGTAAGTCAGTTGTTGTCAAAAAGTCAATGAGAGAGTCTGGATGAAAGGTGGGTCCATCAGCGAGAAGGGAAGGTAAAGAGAGAGCAGTGGAGCGAAGACGACGACAGAGGTAAATTCTGCGTGCTCGTTGATAAAGTGGGCAGTCCAACAGAATGTGGCTGACTGATAATGGAGCTTGGCAATTCTCACAGAGAGGAGCAAGACGCCTCTCCATGAGATATCCATGAGTAAGACGAGTATGGCCAATGCGAAGACGGGAGAGAGTAGTCTCCCAACCTCGACACTGGTGATAAGAAGACGGCCAGTAACCTATACTCGGTTTAATAGATTGAAGTTTGTTGCCGAGCATAGTAGACCAACGTTGTTGCCAACGGGTGTGAAGGTGGGAAGATATTGCAGTAAAATAGTCCGTAAATGGAATACCTCTATAAGAAACTGGTAGTGTCATGTACTGCTGACCCGCGCAGCAGTGTCTGCCTGTTCATTGCCTGTACGTCAACATGACCAGGGACCCAACAAAAAACAATATCTTTATGCTTGGTAAAGATGCGGCGTAGCCAAAGTTGGATACGGAGGACTAAGGGGTGAGGTGTATCAAATTTTTTTATAGCCTGTAAAGCACTAAGGGAGTCTGAGACAACCACAAATGATGACACAGGCATAGATGCAATACGGATAAGTGCTGTAAGGATGGCATATAATTCAGCAGTAAAAATACTAGCCGAAGATAGTAAATGCCCTTGTACGACGCTGTTCGGAAACACTGCTGCGAATCCTACGCCGTCAGAAGACTTAGAGCCATCTGTGTACACAGCAATGGCATGAGAATGAGAGTGAAAGTGGTCAAGAAAAAGAGAGCGGGAAGCGACCGTAGACAGTTGGGCTTTCGAGCAAGGGAGGGAGAAAGAACAGATTCGAACAGCTGGAACTTCCCAGGAGGGTAGGGAAAAGTGAGATGCTACATGTACATAGAAAGGTGGTAGTTGAAGAGAAGACAAGAGCGAATGAAGGCGAAGAGAGAAGGGAAGGAGTAAACAGGGGAGGCGAACAAATAAAGAATGTCTACTAATATCAGTGACCATTCTATAAATGGAAGGATTGCGGAGATCATGAGAGCGTACATAGTAGCGCAGGCAATAAGCATCACGGCGATCGGATAAGGATGGAACGTTCGCTTCTGCATAGAGGCTCTCGACAGGGGAAGAGCGAAAAGCACCAAGGCATAAACGTAATCCTTGGTGGTGAATGGGGTTAAGGCTAGAGAGAGTAGCAGGAGATGCCGCTGAATAGATCTGGTCACCATAATCAAGTTTCGATAAAATAAGGGTGGAATGTAGGCGAAGGAGGGTTCGACGATCAGCTCCCCATGAAAGATGAGCAAGGGTTTTAAGAAGGTTCAGCCGGCTGTGACAAGTTGCCTTCAGAGAGGTAATGTGAGGTTTCCAGGATAACCTACAATCAAAGAGGAGGCCCAGAAACTTGACTGTATCACGTTCAGGGATACGGAGCCATAGAGGTACAAAGGATGATCGGAGATGACAGAGCGTCTAGTGAAAGTGATTTGGTGGGTTTTAGTGCTGGAAAATTTAAACCCACGTTGTGGTGGCCCAATTGGAAACACGGTCGACTGCATGTTGGAGAAAAAACTGTAATGAGGTGACAGTCAGCGCCTGCACAGGCAATAGCGAAGTCATCAACATAGAGTGATGACCAAATATTTGATGGAAGACTAGAGGCCAAATCATTAATAGCAAGGAGAAAAAGCGTTGTGTGCTCAGAACACATCCCTGGGGGACACCTTCAGCTTGGATAAAGTCCGGGGAGAGCACATTATTAACCCGAACACGGAAATGCTGTCAGTTAAAAAGTTCTTAAGGAAGGATGGTAGATTGCTCGAAGGCTAAGGAGTGGGCTTGGGCTAAAATATTATACCTCCAAGTTGTGTCATATGCCTTCTCAAGGTCAAAAAATATGGCAATAACTGAGTGGTTATTCGCAAAGGTATTACGAACATACGTATCCAAGCGTAGTAGGGGTCTATGGTAGAACGTCCCTTACGAAAGCCATATTGACGAGTGGAGAGACTGTTGTGTGTCTCTAAATACCACACTAAACATCTATTTACTAGGCGTTCCATACTTTGCAAACTGCATGGTAAGAGCAATGGGACGATAGTGGGAGGTTTCATGTCCCGTAGTGCCTGGTTTGCGGAAAGGGAGAACAATGGTGGATTTACACAGCTGTGGAAGAACTCCTTGTGACCAAATAAGATTGTAAAGGCATAATAGGACTGCAAGGGCTGACTGATGTAAATGTTGTAGCATACGAATAATGAATGTCGTCAGCCCAGCTGCCGATGATCGACAAGCTGAGAGTGTTGCCTCCAGTTCTTGAAGTGTAAAAGGCACATTATACTGTTCTTCTCTGAGAGAAGAAAAGTCCAAGGGTGCTTAACTCTCTGGCAGACTTTGAGGAAAGAAATGAGGGGAAATAGATGGAGTCCCTGAGAAATACGGACCAGATGATTGCCAATTTCATTGGCAACATCTAGTGGGTTTGCTATATCAACACTGGCAACCCGCAGAACAAGAGCCGGGTCAGGAGAATATTTACCACTCAGTTTTCGTACTTTTTTCCAGACTGCACTCATAGAGGAAGCAGAGGTGATGGTGGAGACATAATCTCGCAGCAAGTGCGTTTAGCGTCACGGATGACACGGCGAGCGATCGCACGCTTCTGTTTAAAATCAAGGAGTCACTCTGTGGTTCTATTGTACCGGTACCTGCCCCATGCAGCGCGTTTCAAACGTACTGCATGAGCACAAGCAGGAGACCACCAAGGCACACATTTCTGAGAATGCCTGCCCGAAGTTTGGGGTATTGAATGAGAAGCTGCGGTGAAAACGGAGGACGAGAAGAGGTGTAAAAGCTCATCGATGGAGGACGAAGAAGGAACCTCTTTAAAAACAGTTAGGTGTGAGTAAAGGTTCCAATTTGCCCGATTAAATTGCCAGCGTGGGGTGCGAAGAGGTGGCGAATATGAAGGGGAAGTAAGAAGATTGGGAAATGATCACTGTCATGTAAGTCCAGGAGAACAGACCAAGTGAAGTCTAATGCGGCGGAGGAAGAGCAGAACTGAGAGATCGATGCAAGGAGAGTATGAGTCCGAGGATCAAAATGGGTATGAGTACCTGTATTTAAAACATGGAGGGGTGTGGGTGGCAAGAAAGCCTCTAACTGAATTCCACGGGAATCACAGTGAGACCCCCCTCCAGAGGAAAATGGTGGGCATTAAAATCACCAAGTAACAGAATCGGTGGGGGGTAATGACGAAACAAGGAAGGCAAAATCCGGAATAGATAATGCCCGAGAAGGAGAGAGATATAAAGAACAGAGCGTATACACCTATGTAAGTGGATATGGGCTGCTGTGTAATGCAGCGAAGTATGAACAAATAGCTGATGGTACGGAATATCAGTGCGGAGAAGAAGGGCACTTTCATTAAAGGTCCCATCAGGAAAAAGGATCTGAAGAATACAAATAAATTATAGCCTGAAGATGTGAGAAATAACAGCAGAGTGTAATTTTGGTTCCTGTAAGCAAACACCAACAGGGGCAAACTGGGAGAGTAACATCTGAAGCACACCCCAATTACCCCTGAGCCGCATATATTCCACTGTAAATAGGCCATGATTGGCAATGATAAAGATACTTGAAATCCGCAGGTAAGGGTTCCTACGGACTAGAAGGTTAGAAAAGTCCACATGCGGAGGCCAGTGGAAAACGTTCAAGCAGCGAAGGAACGGTGCGCTGTGAAGAAAGGAGTTGCGCAGATGGAGCAGAGGAGAGAGAAAGAGCGGAAGGTGGATCAGTGTCCATTGATGGTTTGGTCTCTGCAATATATTCAGAGATTGCTTCAAGTGTTTTCGGAATTCAGAGATGTCGTATGGGAGAATATTGGGAATGGTGAGGGGGAGGATGAGTAAAGATTGGAACTGTATTGGACTGTACCAAGGTAGGGGGGGGCGAAAGGGATGGAGGGAACTGGAGAAGCGTGGCAGGGACAGAAAGGCAGGAACCTGGGAGTGGCAGAAGAGGAAGAAACTTGGGAGGGAACAGGGGAGGAAGGTACAGTACGAGGAGGAGGGTGAACCTCTACACTTGTAACTGAGCAGTGAGAGGGGAAGAACCAGGGACAGAGACAGGGAGGGTAAAATGAGGAGGTGGAAGATGGGTAGGAGGTGTTAACGGACCTTTTTTTGACTTTTGAGAAGTAGAGGGACGAATGGGAGGAGGTGTCGTACGAGGTCTCGTCGATACTGAGGCTTGTGAGAGAGAACTCGAAGAAGCGAGATTAGACTGAGGCGTTGAAGTAGGGACGTCTGAGCCGAGGACAGCAAAAGGATTAGATACAGGAGTGATTATGGGAGAGGTAACCACAGAGGTGGGTATAGAAGATGGGATACCAGAAGTGGGGGGACGTTTTGAAACACGGGAATAAGAAACACGTGGGAGTCTCCCTTGGAGGCGGAGATGAGAAACTGCCATGGCATAAGGGAGACCTTCTGTCTCTTTGAGGTAACGGATTTCCCGCTCGTTTAAATAGACCTAACAACGGCGAGAGTACGAAGGGTGAGCCTCATGACAGTTAAGGCAAGAGGGAGATCGATTGCAAG